TTTTTTCATGCTCCCTCTTTTTTTTTTTTTTTTTTTTGGTGCAGAAAGATGAAGTCAAATATAGTGAATAGAATTTGTTGTTGACAAGAGGATTTCTTTAGTTAGCTTCTGTTTTCCAGAGATATGTTCTTCATTTTATTTATTCACAGATTCAGCTCAGCCTTTCATCCTATTCAACTGAATTGGTTTGAACCTTGTCACTATGTTGTAAGGAAAGAATTTTTACTGGTTAAAACAGTGTAAGAACAAGCAGGTATATATCAATCATAAATATTAAAACTTGTTTCACCTTTTTCTCAATAACCCTTACAGATTATACTGCATTGGTATCTGTATTTTTCCCAGAGAATGGGGATGTGGGAAAGTGGGGAAAAGAAAATAGGGGTAGGTCAAATCGGAAGAGGAGGAAGCAAGAGAACTGTCAATAATTAAAAATAAAACAGACAGAAAGTAAGACTGTTACAGTTATTTTATAACTGGAGTAAAGAGCTAGTGTTGATGGGGTTTGAGAGATATTTGTGTAGACAGTAGCATGTATAAAAAAAGGGTGAAATTGTATTTAGTGATTAAGGGAGGTCATGAGATGGTTGGTAACTGTTTTTTCAAATTAATTTTATTGGTACATTTAAGGTATACAACATAATGACATCCACCATTGGAAATATGCAACTTCACATAATCCATCTTGGTTATTATTTTCCCTTTCCCTTGCCCTCCCTTCAACCCTTCCACCCCTCCTTATCTACAAAGACTTTGTTTCCATTTTTTCATTTTCTCATATTAATTCCATTCCCTTCTTTCTTTTCCCCTACCCCTCCCACTTTCCCTTCCCCTTTGCCCCTTTTCTTCCTATTTCACATTATCTATTATATCTTTTAGTCCTTATTCACATTTTCAGTTTCTCATACTAGAGAAACTAGTCGGTATCTACACATGTGTGTCCTATTTATTTCACTTAAGACTATCGCTTCATTATGCATCCATTTAGCTATAAATGTCTCTAGTTTCTCATTCTTTATGGCTGAGTAATACTCCATTTTATTAAAAAAAAATACGTTTTTTTATCCAGCCTCCAGTTGATGGGCAATTGGGTTGCTTCCAAGTTTTAGCTATCATGAATTGTGCTGATATGAACATTGGTGCACATGTATCACCGTGGTAGGACTCTAATTCTTTGGGGAAGATACCCAGCAGGGGAATAGCTGGGTTAAATGGGACTTCCAGTCTTAGGTCTTTGAGGTATCTCCATACTGATTTCCACAGTGCTTGCACCAGTCTACACTCCCGCCAGTAGTGGAGCAGGGCTCCTCTTTCCTCACAGCCCCGCCAGCATTTGCTATTGGTTGATTTCATAATAGCCGCCATTCTTTCTCAGTTGAGGTGGAATCTCAGGACTGTTTTCACTGGCATCTCTCAAATGACTGGTGATGTTGAACATTTTTTTGTATGTTTATTTGCTATTTCTACTTTTTTGTCTGAGAAATGTCTGTTCATATAAAATGCTCATTTTTGGATTGGGTCTTTAAATTTGAGAGGTCTGATTTTTTAAAGTTCTTTATATATTCTAGATATTAGACCTTTGAGGGACAGCTGGGGAAAAATTTTTCCCACATTGTGAGTTGTCTCTTCACACTGGTGGTGGTTTCCCTTGCTGTGCAGAACCTTCTTAATAAGAAGAGATCCTACTTGTTGATTGTTTGTGCTAGTTCATGGGCAACTGAGGTTTTGTTCAAAAAATCTTTTCCTGGTACCAAGGTCGTGAGTCACGCAGAACATGCTGAATCAGCCCGCTGCAGACAGGCAGGTCTGCAGACACTGTACCAAGGTCATGAGTCCAGAAGCAATCCACTGGACACCCCCCTCCTCGCTCCTCTGGCCTCTTCTCTGTACAGCCACCTGGTTCCACACTACAAATACGCAGAGGACATCGGACCACCAGACCACTGTACTGGGTAAGTTGGAGTCATCTTCACCTCCCATCAGGACCAGGACTATCTTCAGGGGAAGGGCAGCTGGAACCTGCAAGACAACTCTGCAGAGTTCAACCCTACAGGA